ACTAAAGGAAAAAAATACAAGAAGGTGGACATGAATGAGACCTAGAGTCCCATGTGAAGCATCCCCTCAATGCCATTCAAACAGCATTTACTGACAGAGACTAATAATAAATCTGATGAAATAAAAAAACCCAGGAGCGTATGTTGTTAACAAAAGTGAAAAGCCCTGGGTAGTAGAAACATAAATAGCATCAAAAAGACTATGTTTGTCTAAGGGGTAAATCTAAAATGAACAGAAAATGGTGTTTACTTTTAATCCTCCTTTTTGGAAAAATGGGAAATACAGCTGTGGGACTAGAGTTAATACTGGGAATGGGAAACAAAGGATTTCACATGCAATATTTTCAAAATTCACYAAGAACTGGATTTTGCTCAAACCTAGGCTAGGAAATGGGAATTGGATCTCTTTGTACCCCAGTAGAGGCTTAGTAGAAAAGGATAAGTTACAAACMAAACTAAGTAAATAAACTACTTAATAATAATGAAGAGCCGTTTTGCATCATAGACCTAATCCTTAGTGATCTAGCTATTCAGCTTTAACCTCCCACCACCAGACCCTTCGATTTGAAGAGGAACATTTGCTTCCATTTCCTAACACTTTGAAATGGACTGTTTTAGATTGGGCGTAATGTTTTTTCTATTTCAGACCACTTGACATTCCCCAAAGTAATACTTTTTTGTTTAAATATGGGGAAAAAGACACATGAACATGGATATAACTCAAAAGACGAATCTTATTCAAGAATAACGTGATCTAAAATGGGGGAAAAAATGATACCCAAGCTCAAAGGGTCTATTGCATATCCGTATCAATGTCCATGGCAGATCATTTGATTATAATTTGATAGATTAAATTATATTTTAATATAATATGTTCAATTAAAAAAAGGAACTTAAGAAAACCCTAACGATAAGTTATGAACCAAACTAAGTAAATGAACTACTTAAAATATATATTATGAAGAGCCGTTTTGCATCATAACCCTAATCCCTAGTGATCTAGCTATTCACCCAAGCTCAAAGAATCGCTGCATAACCATATATAAGTCCATAGCAGATCCTTTAACTATTGATAAATTCAATTAAATTTTAATACAATATGTCAATTAAAAAAGAGATCAATAATCAATACCTCATTATATAAGAAAGAATTATTGCCAGCCTCAGTATCAGACATTGGACCACCTCCRTCACTGCTATACATGTCTTCCATGCTATTCCACCGGCTTACGTTCGCTGACAGAGATTGATATTGTATTCGTGGGCTGAAAAAGACATGAAGTAATTTTTAGTATTAYTACAAGCCTTTATTATCAAAGATTAGTTTAGATCAAATTATGCATTAGAATTGAAACACGAGCATGAGAACTGCTCTCAGACATTAATGGAATGTCTCTCAGTTCTTACCAATATATGGTAGATTAAGTATCAAGTTGGATAGCCACAGTTGTATAATATATATACCATCTGGGTATATGAGAAACACCAACTTGTGGTAAGAAAAACCATCAAATTGATCAAAACAAYGACCAAACACCAGGATTATAACCAGAAGCACAATTATGCACTAATGTAATTAAACACCAATCTAACATTGCATTATTGAGTTTCAATTTCTATTTCCTGTCATTGATTGACCCTTGACCTACTTAGGGCAGCATGTGAAAATTGCAACAACAAAAATTAAAAAGAGGAAAAAAAATCCTAAAACACTAAAGTAAAATACCATAATTCTAAATTATACCAACAGATCACAATGGATTGATCACAATGTATAAAGAAAAAAACTAAATAAATCAATATTTTAGTGGCACACATTAATGTGTRTTTGATTGTCTTAAAAGTTTTATACATGTACAAAATAATACTAAGTACTGTGGTTACATAATAATTATTTATAATTTATCATATGACCCGTATATGCCCRGGCRCGYGCTCTTAGAAAAACCTTYGAGAAAATGACGTGAGCAGGGCCRTACGGCTTTGAGYGAGTAGGGCTGTAAGAATCCATACCGCCCTGCTCAAATCYGTGCGCTTTCTCTTTTTTAGTGTTTATTTACTATTTCTTTCTTTCTTTTATTTYATTCTTTTTCTTTTCGTGAGGGTCATATGATAAAATGCTTATTGACTGAGTTAGGTCTCTCCCAGTTCAGCACATTGGACCCCTCTCAAAATTATTTTGAATGCAATGCTTACATAAAAGTACACCCAGATTCCACAGAGAAAAGTCTGTTTTCTTTTGTATTTTCATGTTTTAGCCTCACATAYGTAATAGATGCAAAAGAATCTTTGTACTTGTAATTTTGACAGGAAGCAGAGAAAAAAAATTTCAATGGTCAACTTGCAACTTTACTGCTAGGTTTGCGTAAGTATTTCTATTCTATAAACAATACATTACCTTGATAATAGTGCAGCATGATTAGCAGATATTCTTCTTCTGTATGGTAAACTATTGCTGTACAACCAATATTATAAAAATTGTAAACAA